TAAACAGTGCAGGTCCCAACACCCATCTCCAGGCAGCTGCTCTTTTAGCATTTCAGTACCACCGAAGCTGTTTGGTATAATGACGTGGCAAAGCACTTGACACCAGATTGCAGCGAGGCGAGCTGCAACACCGCACAGCGTGGATGCGGTGCTCCGGTGTGAAACCGCCACATCGGAGGAGACGGGAAATGGAGAAGACAGCTGGAAAGGCTGCGCAGCAAAAGCCTGGCTATGTAGAGCTATTAACCTGTTTTAAAAGCACCACATTGATTAATTCAGCTGTAAAAAGAGAAAGCAAAATATCCAAAGAGTTATGACAGTTCCAAGCGCTCGTAGCGTCACTCTGAGACAAGCCACTGACCCCGCCGACCCCCAGAGCCCAGGAAGCCTGCGCAGCCCCGAGGTCTGCTGGGGACAGGTCGGTCCGGAGAGCCACTCACCCTTGTGCCCTGGCCTGGCAGAGGGCTGGATCTTATGTGCTGGGTACGAGGAGGTGTAGGTGGATGGAGGGGGCCTTATTTTCTTTTTGTCTCCACAAGGAACATGATCCTTCCATCTCTTGTCTGCGGCCGGAGGGGGCTGCTGAAGGGAGGGGTGGGGATAGGAGAACCTCTCCTTCATCTCTGAGGTGAGGACGCGGATTTGGGGGTCGGTGTGCATGCGGACACAGGATTTCAGGGGAACAACCGGGGCCACCGGCTGGAGGGGCTTCTCTGGAAACGCCAGACGAGTTTCTGAGAAGGCTTCTCCGCCGACATCCCCCCTCGGTTTCAGCACGTTCCCGCTGGGGGGTCGAGGGGCTGGCACCGACCTGTAAACCCCCCAGAAAGGGGGGAACTGGCTGTGAGAATATGAGTGATGGCCGGCTCCCCGCGCCCAGCGCTCATCCCCCAGCTTAAGGTGGGATGCCTTCAGGAAGGGCAGGCCCTCGAGGGGGGCTGGGATCAACGGCGTCGCGCCGGCCGCCATCGCCCAGACCGCGGGAGGCAGCGGCCCGGCTTGGGGAACTGTGAGGACGCGTCTCCATGGCGACGGTTTCCCGGCGAGCTCCGCGCCAGCTCCAGCC